AGTGCAGGTCCCTTCGAGTGCAGGTCCCTTCGAGTGCAGGTCCCTTCGACTTGAAGACCCATCGTTCGTACCTCGTACTTCGCGTCGAGTTTTCGAACGCCCTCCGTGCTGTGATTCCGCTCTTCCGCCGCGGGCTTTTAGCACAGCCCCATTCGAGCTGGCGTAAAGAATATTCGAGCCCCGAGCCCTCACACCTCCCACGCGCGAGGGAAGAGAGTTCACCTCTGCCCCTACCGCTATCGCTGTGCTTGTCGCTGTCCCTCAGCCAACTCATTACTTCCTTCTTCATCCTGCCCGTCCTCGTCCTCCCCGTCTTCCTCTTCCTCGTCGTCCTCCTCCTCCTCTTGATCCTCCAAATCCTCCAAATCCTCGGGCTCATAAATCACGCGAATCATCAAACTACAACTCGGACACACCGCAATGTCCGTCTCCCCGTCCTTGAGACTCTGGATGGAAATCTCGAACCGATCCCCGCACGGGCACGGGTAATGGTAGATCTGCAGCTGGGGGTCGAAAGTCATGTCCTCGATTTCGATCTCATCGTAGATATCCTGGTCCTCGGCTTGTTGGGCGGTGGGTTGTGACGACGACGACGGCGCCGCCGCCGCCGCCGCCTTGATCGTGAGGGACGAGGCCGCGGCGGTTTGGGTTACGGAGGGCATTTTGGGCGCGCGCGCGAGTGCGGGGACAAAACTCAGGATATGCTTTAGGCGATGGTACTGTAGCCAGAGGTGGGTGAGAAGAATGTCTCCAATGTCAATGGGGTCAGTTGGATGCGACTCCAGCGCAGGAGTCGTGGCGTGGCCGTGGTTTGATCTCAGGAGTGGTGGTGGTCAGCCGAGTACACCACCACGACTACTCACGACTATGTACTGCGCACTGTGATTCACGTCTCGAGTGGCCACGAAAAAAATTATTTGCGGGGAAACTGAGGCGAGACTTTAGGAAGTCAGGAATTGCGGGGTACATACATCGACTGGGCTGACTGGGCTGACTGGACTCCTGGGCTGCCTACTCCGTACATATTATGGCATCCGTTTGCAGTAGCTGGACTCAACTTGATCTTCGAGCTGCTGATATTGGACTGGCTGCACTGAGCTCCAGCCTGAGACGTCAGATTAGTTTGCATTCTGACATCGTCATGGCTCTGCATTTCGACTGTCATGATGCCCCAATCCGCGTCTAGTGTTCGTCATTGTACGCCTGCAGCGTGTTGTGCCCGGCACCGTTGACGATGGCCTACGTAAGATCGGTCGAGTGGGAAAGACCGATGATCGCGTGGGTGATGGAGCTGGTTGTCGAGTCAGCTTCGAGCATAAGCTTGGTGAGACGCTCGATGATACGCTTGGTTATACGTTTCGTTATACCCTGGGCCGTATAGCCCGCGTAAGAGTCAGGACTGAGTCAGGTCGTTGTCTAACAGGTGTGGGCGGATTAGAGCGGTGGAATGATGAGGTCGCCCGGGAGGTGATGCGCAGTGAAGCGAACTGAGCCTCATATACTTGGTGGGCGAGCAGTTGGATACAAATCCATGGAATTCCGGCAAGCGCACGGGCGTGAGGCAGACTTCATGAACACTTGAATATGGCAACGGACAGAAAGAGACCGTAATGATCGACCGACGGGTAGAGCAAGACTTGAACTCCCTGTAGAAATATATCTCAATAAAGAGGTAGATTCGGACTGTTAGGACCCTAGGGAGCTTGTTTGTTCAGCACGTATGAATAGTTCAAAAACATGGAGGGGTTGCCGACCTGAGAAAAGGTCTTCACTGGCAGAAAGCAGATGGGAAGCAGAATAAGCAGACGCAGACGCCGTCAAATCTGAGAGAGCGACGCACATGGCGGCGCACACAGGCACACAGGCAAGGACCACGTCGAGCCTTGTCCGACTGTGGCTCGAGAAGAGAACTTTCTCAGTTCCAATCCATTCGATTCAATGCTCCTCTCTGGCCTTGACACGCTTCATTTATTGGAAAGACTCATGCACATCATCTCCCGGCGGCGGAGGAAAAAGGTCCATTCTGACGGCGTTCTTTTCCATCGACTGCCTCAACATCGTCGCGAACCAGTAACTGTGTAACTGAACTTCTCTTGGATACGCGGCGCAGCGCATGACTGGACTGGACTGGACCGCATTGGACTAGACCGGACCGGACACACCAAGACCATCGACTACCCTCCACCCAACTAACGTACGTTTCCATGCATGCAGATCGGATGCCACGTGGCAAGTCGCAAGTCGCAATGGCGTTGTGCAAGTGTACCGCAGCCCACAACACAACAGTCGAAGTAAACCCAAGCAACGCGAACCGAAGGGCCAGCCGCTTAACGGTATCTCCACAGGGAGAGGGTGTTCTGTCTCTTCCAGGTCTTTCTCCGGCCCGCAGTGGTGTTGTTGTATCCATGTCCCTTGCCCAGACCACGGGATTTCTTGCCCGTAGCGGTGAGACCACGAGATTCGCGGTGCTGTGAGAGATGACGTTAGTGATCGGTTCCAAAGGAGCGGTGCTTCGTCCGAAGCGAAAATAAATTGAGCATCATACCTTGTGAACAGGGTTGACGATCCAGTTGATTCTGGGGTCGCGACGGATAGCCTTGTGGTTGGGGTCCACGAGGATGACTTCGAAGTACTTGTACGTCGAATCCTGGTTGATCCAGTACGAGTTGAGGACGCGGAGGTTGGCGCAACGACGGCCGACCCGTTCTTCGGCCGTGGAGCGGAGGGAGCGTTGGTACTTGAGTTGGTTCACACCCTGGTTGGTGGGTTTGCCTAGAGTTCTCCTTGTCAGTCTGGGCTTTGGTCTCCGAGATGCCTGTTGACAGGGCAGGGCAATGTAGGGGAGTGGCTGTTCATACCGTAGGTGGCACCCTTTGGCACCGGTCGCTTGCGACCACCACGGCGGACTCGAACCCGGTAGATCACATAGCCTTGCTTGGCCTTGTAGCCGAGACGACGCGCCTTGTCTGGTCGAGAGGGGCGGGAAGCGCGGTGGATGACGTTCAATTGTCGGAGCTATATTGATGCACTCTCAGCATATTGTTCAACGAGTGTATAGCAAGACACGGGCTCTAGAGGCCGTGCCACATGATGAAGATGGACCAGAAAGGTATGACTTCGCCTCCTCTTCTGGACCTTTCTCCATCGTCATCGTAGGGAGTTTTTATCTTACCTCCCAGCAGCGGACACGGAGCAGGAATCGAAGGACGTCGGATTGTTTCTTCTTCTGAAGTTCCTCGACATATTTGAGGGCACCCATCTAGAAAGAAAATCGTCAGCTTATTGTCGCAGAGTCCAGACAGTTGCGCTATTACCTTGACTGTTGCGCCTCACGAAGAACAGTGGTCGACTTGAGGAATTGAGGAATTGGGACTGACTTGACTGCTAAGGCTTGGTTGGGAGTTTTCGAGAAAGTGGGTGCGCAGGCTTGGCAAAAGAAATCTTGGCGCTGGGTTTGAGTCGGCCAATCACGGCATCCGATCTTTGCGGGGCCTCTACGCAGTGAGGGAGGGCATACACTATGAGCGCGTCCTCGAAGTTCCCTACCGTCCTTGTCACACTGACCCTTAAAGTAAACATACAGGATGCAAACACGCGGAAAAGGTAAGAGCTCCTCAACGTGCTCCATCTTCCACCTCACCAGCAAAGCAAAGTCTCCCCACCGCTCTCTCCATATCTACCGCGACATTTCCCCATCCGGGGGTCGGCTTCGACTGCGGATTCTCGTGCGTGCCATGTGATAAGAGGACCTTGCCCTGATGTTCTTCCTCGGCAGTGAGATCATGCGGCGTCCTCACCTCGTTATACCTATCTGTTAGGAGCCTCTCAATCTGAAATGCCGCCACCTTTTTGCCGGCTGCAACAATAGATTCTGTAGCTTCCCTGTCGTTTTTGAATGATGCTTCTGTCATATCGAGCCGTGACTTGTGCGTGGGACGGCCTTCGAGCTCGTCGTAAGCAAGGGCCAGGGCTCCCGACTGTTCCAGAAGACCACACATTGCCTCGCAGTATGGCTGAGTTTCAGCCCCGAGATACCGAACTTGCATGGGGATGGAGACGGAAGCAGGATCCGATGGTTCGTCTGTAAGACCTCCGAGAGCAGCGCTGAGGAGCGGCGCAATCTCTGCATCGAATTCTTTCTTGTCCGAGACGCTAAAGGCTGTCAGTTGGCGACGGTAGCGAGGGATGATTCAACCTCGCACCTCTTTTCCCGAATCTCCTCCACTTTCTTGAGCACTGCCTCTTGCCTCGAACGCACAGCCTTAACAAAGCGACCTGGCCATGGATTGGTCTTGCTGACTTGGTCAAAGAAAGCCTTCAGCTTCTTTTGGTTGTCTCTGTTCAACGTAAATACGGCAAGCGCAGTAGGGTTTCCCTTGAGCGACGCACTCCAGGTTGGTTCTATCGTTCTCACCAACGTCGGCTTCCTCGTGCCAGTGCCCAGCCGAGGACAGAACGTGGGCCGGTTCGTGGCCGACTTCGGCAGTTTTGCTACTCGGATTTGGCGCGCTCCTACGTGAGACGGAGCTGTCATTGACTGCAAGGTGTCACATGAAAAGCCAGGGAAGGGGGAGCGAAAAACCTTACCCGCTTTTGCTGGGTTGACAGGCATTGCTGCAGGTAGCTGGCTGCAACCTGAGTCAGGAGTTAGGTAGAGAGCGTGTCTTGAGAAGAGCAATGGCAGCGTCGGCCGACGGGTGAATCGAAGTGAGGCCGAAGTGAGTGAGAGTTGAGCGGGCAGACACGCACATAGTCGGAAGCGGGGAGCACACCTGCCTCGAAATGCCTCGTAATGCGGTGGTCGATGCCGCCAGCAGAGTGAGTTCATCTTCTTGTCATTTATTCAAAGCTCAATGTCGTTATTGTACACAAGCCAGCCCGTGCGAATGGTGACATTGCAATCATGAACCTTCAGCTTTCAACATGATTCTTGACTCAGCAGCCTCCCAGCTCCATCTGTAATCATCTGCACCAGGACATTATGGCTCGTTCGTCGTCTGTATTAGTAGCTCTTTCTGTATCCAGCAAGACCATGAACAATCTGAATTCGAATCTCTTTTGTCCAACCCAGCGATACCCAACACTTTTCGATCTCATGGAATCTCCCATGGACATTCAAGGGATTGAAAAAGGTTCACCCCAGCACTATAGCCCGAGTGTTGGATGTCTCATCCTGTAATATGTTCTCTCCACGACGCAGTGGTCTAGTGGTCCCCCGTGAACCGTGAATGGTCGAGTCTCGTCTTGCTGAACACCGTTTCTACACCTCGGTCGTTGCGTCATCAAATTCAGGAATTTTGTCGAAGTAAGTCTTTGATCAGAAGCAGTGTCGTAATCCGTTGTTGACGCGTAAAGAAAATGAGGATTGAAGTCAAGAGCCGAGTGAAAGCCCCTGGAAGCGACCCATCCAGTTGGGATCATGCACTTGGTTGGGAGCTCGTCCTCTGTAGTCAGATCGATTACTGGCGAAATTGGGAGCATTGGGGTTCAGTGTTGGATATGGCTGAGCATAGTAGGACATGAAAGGATCCATCTGGGTTGGCATGTTCGGTGCAAATGTCGGGACAGGAGGTTGCAGTTGTTGAGAGCCGGCCCCAACGTCTTGGAACTGATTGTAGAAAGCATTGCGCATTCCGGTGTTCTGGCTATTGTTGTACTTCCGATCGGCGTCGAACGTATCTCCAAATGGAGTCGTGACTGCCTGTGAGCTGAGGTGTGTCTGGTGTCTCTGCTGCTGTCGTCTCTGATGGCGCTCATCACCAGGAGCAGCGGCATAGAGCGGCTGGATGCCGAGAGAAGCTGTAGGGGTTTGAAATGAAGCAGGATTTATGGCCGACATCCAGATACGAGTCTTGTAGATCTTGAAAAGATCTGTGACAAGATGATTGAAGTTGATGTAGTTGTCAGCGAAGTAGTAGAATGTAAGCTTCTTGCTGTCCCTGCGTAGTGTTAATTCTGGAAGACGGGGGTTAATGCACTGCACGTACATTTGGAATTCTGCGTCGAGGATCTCCATGTTCAAACGATGCTCGAGGACCTTCTGCTGACAGACTCGCTTGGCTTTCGCTTCATTGCCTTCTTTGTCTTTCAATGCTTGAATCTCGTGATTCTGGGCCAGTCGTTTGATCATCTTGGGCTTCAAGTCGGGGCCAGATGAGTCGTGGCCACCGTGGTGGCCTTGGGGTCCCATGCCCCCAACGGCGCTGCCACGACTGCCTGGGGCGCCGTTTGGGTTGACGACATTAGGGCCTCCATTGCGGCTCTGCAAAGAAAACATCATTAACCATTTGTAATGCTCTTCCGCATAGTGATCTTTGTAGCGCCGAGCGTCCTCCCACGTGACATTAGTATGCTGAACTGTACCCAAGTCGGTGCCTCTGTCCGCTTCGACAATGACTAGATCGCCAACGTTGACATGTAGGCCGGTTCCTTCTTGGATGTAGAACACTTCGGAGCGACAACATTTGAAGTTGACGATGAAGAGCGGCTGCGCGGCGGGCTCGAGATAGGGACCGACGCCGAAGTGTTGGCCGTAGAGCTGGGGTTCGCGATGTTGTTGGTGGACTCGGTCATCGGCACGACGTCGGGTAGATTCGTTGGTGTTGAAGTACTCCGCTGCATAGCGACGAAGACGTAAGTACAAAATCCTCATCTCGTCCTCGTTCGGATGCATCAGGGTCAGGGCAAGGGCCAACTTACGATCGTCTCCTTGGGATAACGCCTGGGAACCACTTTCATACGCTGTCACCTCTTCGTCGCGACCTAATCGATCAGTTTCTAGCAATCGGAGATGGACGCCTTGTAGACGCTCACCGGTTGAGCTGAAGGACCCGTGACGGGTGGGGACATCAGCAAAAGAATGGCGCCGGCTTTGCGGAGCTTCTGGGATAGGGCCAAACCCAAGGGATGTCTGCCAATGTGCCTTCTTCATGCTGTCGAAAGCACGGTTCTCGGTAGGTGACAGTGACTGCCTATCGGCGATCGAGAGAGTCTGTTCACTCATGCGGCGAGGATTATTGTCTCGGCCTGGAAACCCCCCGAGGGCTGCTACATCATCTCTGTCATCAATCGCCGTCTCTGATTCCTCGGGTACTGCATTTCGAAGACGCGTGTTTTGAAACCCAGGCGGCTGGGCAGGAAGTGTCGGAGCGATGCTCGGGAGAGCCCTATCGCGATTCTTAATTTCCTCACGAAGTTGGTGGTTCTCTAGTACCAACCTCTGCATCATGTGGGTCTGTCCGATGGAGAGTGCGTTGCGCATGGCATCGGCTCGCTGATATTCCTCGTCGTCTTCTACCTCGCGCACACGGCCGAGTCCACTGGATTCAATCCCACCCAGCCCACCGGGTCTTGAGGTGCGTCTCTGGACCCCAGGATACTGACTTCCTAGTCTGCTGCGCGTGGCTTCGACGGACGTCGAGATCGGGTTAGATGGCGGAGCATTGGTGGTATCGATTTGTCCCACAGAGTATGATAGAGAGCGGTGCGTCTTGAAGCTGGGCTCCAGGGGAATCGAAAACGGGATACCAGTGTCACCATTTGCAGAAACTACCTCTTGAAGCCTCGTCGGCGGGTCCTTGCGGCCGTCCTGGTTCCAGATCGTGTTCCATGGATAAGAGGTCGCCGGGTTAGGCCATGCTGCAGAACCAGAAGTGTTGGGGTTAGACCAAGGAGAGTTTTCTGCACCAGGAGTACCAGGATGCGAGGTAGAAGGGCTATACGGACCAGTGATTGATGGCTTACGGTTCACGTTGGCCGCGGAAACGTCTGTCAGCCAAGAAGTCCGTCTTCCTGGTTTGCCTGGTCTAGCGTTGCTGGTAGCGACTGCCTTTGTGTGATCTGGTTCGTCGTCAGATGATGCCAAAACCTCCGAGTCCGGAGTCGATCTACGCAGGTCCGGATTCGATCGTTCCAGAAGTAGTGAAGCAGATCCCTGGTGGGCACCAAACGTACCAAAAGCCGGCATAGGCGCTCGAGTGGTGAGAACCGTCTTGCTTGGTGTGTTGCTCATGATGTCGATTGTGGCAATGTCAGGATAGGATCTGAGTGTCACTGCTGTTGCCAAAGTTAGCAGTGCAATCCATCAAACTTGAAACGTTTTCAGCTGTGGTGTTTAAGAAGACAGGGGGAGCGAGCCTCGTGAGGCTCAGTCCCGTGGGAGTGAGATGAACGACTTGAAAAGCAGCTCGGTTCTCCCAGAACAACAGGAGCGGGAAACATAAAACGGGATGCACCAGAGACAGAGATGGCCAGTTCAAACACTTCTTGGCCGTGATGAATGAAATTCAGCTCACCTTGATGTTACAGAACCATGGAGTGTTGAGCGCTCAGCCTCAGCATCCTCTGAGTTGGTTGGTGTTGAGAAATCGCGCCCGCGCCCCAAGACTGAAAATCTATCTTTGACGACTCTGAGGGGGTCTCAAGACGGTGAAAATGAGGATCGCCTTGTGTTTGATGCCGCTGTGAATTATGTCGATTGTCTGTGATGGTGTGGTCGCCGATTTTTGATTGTTGTCGGCGAATAGTTCGTGTCCGGCCAGCGACACAACCACTTCGCCCGCGCCTGGACAAGTGACCCCAAAAAAAGTCAGGTGATCGACTAAGAAGCTTAAGAGACAGCTGTCAGTTACAAGAAAAGTGGAATTGGCGGCGCGGACAACCAACACGTTGAATGGTCTAGAGGTATCTGGCTCGCGGGTGATAGAGATGCTGCGGACTGTAGAGGGAAGATGTGAAGGTGTGAGCGTTGTGAAAGCGGGCTGAGTTGAGGTTGGAAGCCAGAGAGTTCCTCTTACTTACTCCGTTCGGTGGCGGAGGTATCCGAGAAACGGGGTCTCTGGTCACTGGGTTTGCCAGACACTGCCCGCCTTCCCCGGATTATGATGAACACGCTTTCGCTTAGTTTCTCACGCGACCACGCCGAGGCAAGTAGCACAAGAGGTGCAAGCCTGGGCTCCGACACGGGAACGCTGATGGTTCCAAGCGGGGTGCAAGAGTCGGCAGTCTGGGCCCGGTTGAATGACAGTCGCTTTGGTGGTGGTTGGATGATCTACCAGAGCGCGCAAGAGAGTTTTGGAGTAGAACAGCAAGCAGGTGCACGACAGAACAGGCCGCTCACTGAATCGGGCTCAGGTGACACGAAGTATGAATGCGACAATAATGGAGCGGCACGAAGACTCGATCAGAGAAGAGGAGAAAATCACGAGCAGCAGAAGCAAATCAGATCAAGCAGCTTACTGGACTCAGGGACAGGAGAGCTTTCAAGCAACACATTCGGGCTGCTGCTCGGGGGGTCCTGTTAGTCAATTTTAGCTGGGGTAGCAGTAGTGGATGCCAATTGGGGTGGGCATCTCAAGATGGCGGGCACCGCAAGTTTTCTGCCCGGCCGGAGCAAAGCCTGAGCGCGATAGGAGCAGCCGCGGAGTGGCGAGGGGAACAATCATCACGCCATGAGTATTCAGGCATGCTCACTTGATGACAGACCCAACAAGCACGAAGCACACTCGTGGCCCATGTCGCGCCAGGGTGGCTGTAGTGGTGGGTGAGCGGGGATGGCATTTCCCTGTGAATAAAGTCTGGGACGCAAGGTCCAAAGACTGCCTAAAGAGGGGGTGGTCGAGTCCAGAGGGAAACGGAGGGGGAATGGTGTGCATGGTGCCGTGTGGAGGGGTGGAGTTATACCCAAGGCAAACCACAAAGATTGGTTGGACGCGGCTGGGGCTGCTCAACCGCCAAAGGGGCGTGAATCTTGAAATGATCGCACCGACTAGTGCTGCGGCACAATGACATGGCCAGTAGAAACGCCAGCAGGCACACGTCTGGAGGCCCTAGCCAACCAAGTCGCGGGAGGTTGTAGAAAGGCAAGAAGAAAGGCACAGGTGTTTGCAAGGTGATTGATGCCTCAGGCTAGCGGGGTTTGTGCAACCAAGATAAAGCAGAGGTGAGCAGCGCAACCACGAACCTTGTGTTAGTTAAAAGGCCGATGATGGTCAACGGCTGGAGACAGCCTCCAAGCAAGGGACCACGAGTATCGAGGATCGGGATCCTGCAATGGGAGCACCTGGCAAACCACCCGGGTGATTGACCTGATCAACCTGAATAACCTGTTGATCGGTGATTGACACTGACTTGCATCAAGCCACCGGATGGCAAATTGCGGGGAAGAGGGTCAGCGGTACGAGGAGATGCAGGGCGTTGGTGACATCGCGATCGCCTAATGAATGACCACGGCGTACACGAGCCTACCTCGTACGAGTACGAGTGATGCGGAATTGAAGTTGACAAGGACATGGGCAGGATACAAAGCGACCTATGGAACACGTGAGTTCGCCTGAAGTGGATGTTCCAGCATTGTGAGAGAAGAATCACGAGAAAAACGCATATCATATCAGTATACGGTCCGCAAAGCCATCCGCATCGAGTTTAAGAAAGAGGGCCAATTTTGGGGCGGAACAGCTATCAAGATCTCCTCGGGCGCTGGTGTTCTCAAGTCGTCCCGTTTTCGAACTGGATGGCGTGCGTTGCGTGGCTGCTCACCTCTGGTGGCCTCTGTACGTTGATACTTTGGCACTAATCCATTATTCCCTGGCTCTGATATGAACTCAACCACCCTTAGATACTATTGGTAGAGACTGATGCGCTGGACTGCGTATGTACGGTACTTCTTTGCACTCGTCTGGCGACTCTCACGAGCTGGTTCTCGCACGGCTGCTTATGTGCCTGTGCAACGACGACTGGACAGATCAGAACATCTGCCATCCAAGGAACAAACGGCCCCGACTCTTCCGCCATCCGGGGCCACCTGACATGTTGACGTCGGATGTTCCCAAATCTAGACTCGGCTATCAGTCGCAGAGATGCCAAGGCCATCGAAGTCTCCAGCTGCCTTGGTACAGGATCGACTGCCCTACAGTATGAACACGTATCCTACATACCCTGATCCTGTGGACTGCAAGGGTATGCAATTTTGTTCTCGAGGACGTGCCATCCTGGATCGTGGGGATTTTGGGCTGGATGCTTCGGATCAATCGACAGATCACAACCTCCACAGCCTCAGCAAGGCCTCAAAATGCCTGTTGGGAGTATAGTCCGATGTGCATGATCAAACTGTGCCATTTTGCGGATCTGTATTGTCACACGTCTAGGTCATTCGACAAAATCAAGACTGCCTTTACCGACCGTCGAGGCCACTGCGTCAGGTCCTTTCTGTTGTCGCAGCTTTTCTTCGAACTTGGCAAACTCCTTCATCGCGATCTCCTCTTCCTCGTCCAGCACTTGATTGACACCCTTGACTTCTTCGATATAGTGCATCAGCATAGATTCAATGCCGTTCTTCAATGTCACCGTGCTCGAATCACAGGTTCGACAAGCGCCTCGCAATTTCAAGTTGACAAACCCATTTTCAAAACCGCGGAACTCGATGTCGCCGCCATCTTCTTGGATGGCAGGTCTGATTCGTGTTTCCAGCAGCTCTTTAATCATGGCCACGACTTCATCATCCTCGTCATTGGCAGCTAATGAGTCTTCGCCCAGGCCACCTTGACCGTCTTCCGAAGACGTAGACTTGTCCACCGTGTTGACAAGCTGCTCACCAGACGTGATCGCCTCGGTAATCAGCGAGAAGATCTCAGGCTTGACGTGCGCCCAATTCACGTCTTCCGCTTTCGTGACGGTAATGAAGTCCGGCCCGTAGAAGACCGACGACACACCGTCGACATCAAGCAGCCGTGCCGCCAGAGGTGATGGGTGAGGTGCGGCCAGCGTCGACCGAGGAGAGTTGTACTCGAGGAAGGTGGAAGGGAATCCCTCGGGCAGGACAGGGTGGTTGGGGAGGAATTTCAGGGCCGAGGCATTGGGTGTAGACTGTGTTTGAATGTATATTGACCGGTTCGGTGCCACAGGTGCGGCTTTCTGGCTGCTAGGCTGAAGAAGAGGCCGCCGTCGAGCGCTTGAGGACGTGATTGCAGGTAGTCGGACTGACTGGTGAATGTTTCGAGTGCGGCATGCGCGACACGCCTGGCTTAGAGGCTGCCGGGTCCTCGATCGCGCAAAAGTTCGCAGTGCTTGTGAAGAGATGACGCCGCGCATTGTGTAGATCGCTATCGCAATCGCAGGTTCGTTGACCATTCAATCGATAACGCTGAGGATAATGTTTTGGTGGTGATGGCGATTTCTCTCGAGCTCCAAACATCTTCCGGACGCCCAGGATGACGCAATGTCTACGTCGATATCACGTGATGAGAGCCAGAATTTCTCGGGGCATTTGTCAGCGCTCGAGGAATATCAGAGACCAATCACGATCAAACTGCGGCAGGAAATATCGTCGACTGGCCGTTGTTGTGGCTCGAAAGCCTGGTTGCTGTATAGAAGCCTCCAGGAGCCGTTGTGTTTCTAAAGCATCTCTCCCAATCCCGCGTCGATGCAGGACTGTAGCGTCTGTGAAAACCAGACCTCAAAGTACCACTGTCCGTCATGTAGGGCCTCGAGGTTCGTCCATCGCTCACTCAAATTACGTTGACGATCATTAACCGGTATCATGGACAGTTGCTCATTGCAATGTTTCAAGACCCATAAAAGCCATTGCACGCATCCAACCAGCCAGACTACTGCAAATCGCACGTCGCCTCCAAAACCAAGCGCAGTGGAGGCCGAAGCTGTCCCGTCCGGCGACCGTTTGATCCAGGACCGAAGGCTGCAAACCCTCTTCGATCAGCATCCAAATCTGCGCGTCAAACTCAAATACATATTCGACACTGCCACAGCGAACAATCATGGCGGCGACCAGTCAAATTCCAATGAGTGGGCCCAGAGGTACCAGTCTTCTCCCCAGAAACGCATCGCGCACGCAATGAGAATCCTGGCCGGTCAACTAAACTCAGAAAGCGCAGATGCCTCTGGTCTGAAGGCTTTTGCAGACTTGGTGGCTGATTTGAACTCGGGCATGTCTGGCGGGAACCCAGACCACGCCAATTCCAAGCCTTAAAGAGAGCTCTGCTTTTCATGGAGTGCCTGGAACTGCGGTGGGATGGCAGGACTCATCGGCATTTTCTCCTGTACAGGAGATCCCTTCCTGGACCAAGTCGACCGCCTCTTGGGGATTGGCTTCTTTTCCGGCTCGTCGTCGAAGTACATGTCGATCAGCTTCTCAACTGGGGACTTCCTCTGGAAGATGCTGAATATGCTTTTACGCCGTCGTGGTCTTGGTCGGAGGCCGCGTTCGTCATCCTCCTCCTCCTCCTCTCCCTCATGCAATGAGCCTGAGTGATCTGGCCGCAACGAAGTCGGCATTGGTGTCGATTCATTACCCTCGTCATCAGAATCGAGCAGATTGAGCATGGGCGGACGTCGTTTCTTGTACCGGTGCTCAAGCACCTCTGCACCATCTTGGATTGACAAAGTCTCCAGCTCACGGCGCAGTTGGTCCTCTCTGGGACCGCCAATTGTCAAAGGTGTGAGCGGCGGGCTTGATGTTAAAGTTGCATTTGAGGTTGACTGAGATAACGCGGGAACAGGCGGTACATCGCCTTGGTCGAATACACCAACGCCGGGGTTCGACCAGAATCCACCATTTCTGATTGATGGCCGTCCATCACTGGTAGTCGTCCTTCTGCGGGGAGTCGGTCTGGGTGCTGTACTCTCTTGCTCCTGCACGACCTCGTCACTTATTGCCCTCTTGCTCGAACTTCTGGGCGGCAGAGACTCGTTACTCATCACTCTCTTACTCGAGCTCCTCGGCAGTAGAGACCAAGACGTTGGAACTGACGGACCGGCTTCGTCGTCTTCAAGCAAGTATTCATCGTATTCTAGTTCGCGTTCGGCTTGACCCTCTACGACCGAATCCGGCGTGTGAGCTTCACGCAGAGTTGGGCTCCTGCGAGTCTCCTTCAAGGGTGGTGATGGGGACAATGTCTTCCAGAAGAACCTGCGATTTGGCGAGGTTTGAATTGAGTCCATCCTCTCCGAAAATTTGCTCCTGCTACGCTCGTGCTCTGGCTGTGGAGAGGGAATTCGCTGCTCGGCCCATGCTCTCCAGTCTCCGGATACTCCTGGCTGAGGATCGTCCTGGTCTTCTCGTGCTTCTGGTGGTTGGCCGTGGTCCTGAAAAGCGGCAATAGCCTCGGTTCTCGCGTCATCTTCGACTGGTGCTTTGTCAGACTCGAGTGGCACGCTGGATGTAGCACATTTGCTGGGAGAGCTCTTGGAGAGGCTGCTCGGCGAGTCAACTGGCGCTTGACCTTCATCCTCATCCGTGGCATTCGATGAAGCATGGTGATGCCGCGATACTGTGGACGAGCTGATAGACGTCGGCCCCGGTGGCGTCAAAGCCTTGTTCATCTCCCGTGTGTAGCTCTCCTCGAATGAGAAGCGCTCGACATTGACGCCATCGGACTTTTCGGAATTGCTTCGAGCCCGTTTCAGCCGCTCCTCGAGCTCTTGCACCTCGGCCGTGTATGTATCCAATCGTTTGAATAGTGCGTCGAGATCGAGCTCATCCTCCTTGCTGCTGGGATTTGACCGTGACGAGATGGTGGATGCTGCTGTCGATGTGTTTTGGCCGTCCACGATCCACGCTTGAGCCCATTGTATCGCTTGCCCGACAGATTTAGAGCTCTCTCTCGCGCTGGCACGATCAGTACGATCACTGGAATATATCGACGACATCGCCAACACACGGTGTCAGCAGAAGGGAGCGAATCTGGTGGCGGTTGGTCGCAGCAACGCACACGTGAGGTCGGTTACACACCACGTTCCAGCAACGGGCTACCGTCCAGTTTATATTGAAATGCACTTGGACGTATACAAGGGGGACTGGCGCTGTCAAAATGCCACGTTTTTCACCCACCTTTTCTCCTGCCGCGAACTTAGAAATTTAGTCGAGGTCATGACGAGCGAGGTTCAAAGCTTCACCCCCAAAACGATGGGTAAATCTCATTCAGCTCGGTCACTCGGTGCCACAAACGGCTGGAAACGAGAAATGGGAGAGCATGAGACCGGATGTGGTATGGCGAGCGCCATGGGCGGCCATAGAGCTGAAGTCGAATTCAAAAGGGGGGGGACGGGTGGCTTGGTGAATGGGTTCTGGACTGGTTGGTGGCGTGCGGCCGGTTGGGAGAGACGAAGACATCGACCATGGCAAAAATGCACTCTGTACCAGAAAAGATTTGCTGATGCACGTACCCCGTACGAGTACGAGTACTCTCTCTATTCATGCGGAGTCCACAGTATATCACAAGGTATAGGCTGGCGTCACAAGTTGCCTGAAGGCTACGGATCAAAGTCGTATTGAGTGTTCTCTGTGGTAACGCTCGCGAAAGATGCATCGATCCCGGCCGAAAGCCGCAACCCCGATCTAGCCAGTGAAGGAACCACCAGGCTTTCACGATGGCGGTAACTCGGCCAAGTTTGCGGAGACCAGCAGCCTTGGCCACGGTTTTCCCATTCTTCTTCGTTGCCGTGCCATATGGGAGAAGGACGACCTTCGACAGCAGCTCCGTCCGTGCAGTCATGACGTGGTGGATGACGGCTGTAAAATGAGAGTGCAGGTTCTGTCTAGAGCCAGAGAAGCAGGCGTCGGATCGAGGAAAGAGGGATTTGGAGGTGCATCGTTTGAGTTCCGGTTGGATGTCGAGTGCAGCGGGGTGGAGATGTGGTTGAGACTCTCTAGGGCCCCTGACCAGGATGGGTTGGGATTGGGCTTTGTGCCGGGCTACTGCACGCTGCAGAACTTCTAGCACACGTGAATCATCGTGACCGACAGCTGTATTAACAATGTCCCTGTGCGAGCAGGACCTTGTCATTGGACAGCATGCAGCTGGTGCAGCCACGAAGTCATGATGCAGCAGCGCGAGGTGATGTGATGGAAGGGTGAAGAGAGAGTGAGGGAAGAGTGAACAGAGGCAGGATGAGTGCTCAGTCCGCCTCGCAGGGGAGATGCAAGCAACAGACTTTGTGCCAAAGCTCGGCTCCTTGATTTTTCCTCCCGAAGCTTGTGCACGTCGAACTGCAGTACGTGATCTTGCACGGGCATAAAGAACACATTCCTCTATACTCCGTGCTCATCCACATCAGACAGTACTGTGTCCGTGCCAGTTTCCAGTCTCGAGACAGTGCTCCGTATTCCGGGAACGTCATGTCCACCCGGCCGACTCCCACGAGAGCACTCACTGGCTTCGTCCCTCAAACCTCGCTTTCTGAGCACAGTCCCAGGGCAGCTAGTCCACCGTGCCGTGCATTGGGCGTTCTGATCGTGCATCGGGGCGGCGGGCGGGAGCAGGAACCTCAGCCTGCGACTAGGATCGGGGCTGTAATCTCGCCAATGGCCACGGAACGTCGCTGGCGGGAAATCCACCCTGCAGCTACCGAGCTTCCTCCCCTTCGCACTTGGTGTTAGTTCCTGCATCTCGCTGCGTCCCCCTGGCCAACGGCGCAATTGTGCCCCGTCGCGCTCTCGTTCCCACCATCGCCTTTGGAAAGGTACCTGACAGTCGGCCGGGTGGTCCACGCCAAAACTGTGGGCTGCGCTGCGAGAGGCAGATGGTTCCGAACCACCATCAGATGCCCAGTCGACGCCAGACTCCAGTGCCCCAGAGAGACGCACCCTGGACTTTCTTCACATGGGGCCGAACCTCTCTCATCAAATCCGCTGTCACGCTGCTAGCAGAACCTCGCCAGGTTCGGGCACTTTCTGTTCGCGTTCAATTTCCTCTGCTACATCGCTATCTTCCTGTGTTCCATCATTCCTAATTCTCTTTCCAGACTCAGTACTCCCTCTCAGTCCCGTACGGCGACTGCCCATTGTTGCCTTTGCCTCTCCCGTTCACCTCACGTGTGCACCAGCTGTCGATCGAGCAGACGGAGGGCCAGACCACTCGACTGTGGACAGCCAGATTGAGAGCTTGGACAGATACTCTCCACATCGATCCAGCCTCAGGCTCCGACATATCCACATCCGCCAATACTAGACTACCTTCTCAACTCTGCTGAGATCGACATTCGCTCAATCCTCATCTCCTGTTTCCTCTGCACGAGAGTCACTTTCACTCTATCGCCAGACGCTGGGACAGAGCCCAGTCAACCCAGACCCGCTCGCTTCGTCTCCCACTTGTCCGTTTCTTTCTCGACACGGAGCTCTGGTAGCTTGCGAACCGGATCTCTTCCCCTCCGACTTTGCTTGCCGACCACAAAGACCCATTGACTTGGTGTCTCGACGTCTCCGGAATCCATGACCTCCACTCTCTCCCAGCCATCTGGTCGTCCACCATTTGCCACGCTCGACGTCGAAAGGGATCAACCAGAGCCTGTCAAGCATCCGTGAGCTATGCGCTGATTTGTGGCTTACCTTCCCGGCAGCCCGAGAGTCATGGATTCGCGCTCGACGAGATATCGTTCTCTGGACGCCAAAGGTGCTGAACCCCCACCGAAAACCAGGGAACGGCACAACTCGGCTCCCACCGTTGATCGTCGGAAAGAACAACACCAAAGGCGTCCATCAGCCGTTACCAAGCATCCGGACTCCAGCCACAGAAGCACAAAATCCCATGGTCGAGTAGAATCCCTTACGGCTCCAGACCGTAAGACGAACACCCGACACTCGGATCGACATCAGGGCCCAGAGTGTACTCTTGAAGCAAAGCTGTCGGCCAAGGTACGTACCCCCCTCGAATGTCAGACCGCAGACGTCGGGCGCGCTTCTTGGAAGGGGGAATCTCCTCGTTGACTCGTGATTCCAGACAAGTGACTTTGAGTCAAGCTCCTCTGTGAACTTATTGGTTCTCGGATCACGCAACTCCGGAAAGTCGACCTTCATTCGCAACGCCGTCGGCAGCCAACGGTCTCGGACTTCGACCCAAGTTGTCATCAAGGATAAGTACTATCGCGTCCAACTTATCGAGCTGCTGTTCGACGATGTCGATTTCAGTAGCGAGCGGCGAATCGAATGGCCCGCGTACGTGAACGGTGTCCCGTTGTCGGAAGTCGACGGCGTCTTCTGTCTGTACGACGTCGCTGACAAAGAAAGCGTTGCCGACGTTCCTGCCGCTCTGAGTAAGCACCCCCCCGAGTGGATGTCCCTGGTTCCTTCTGCCAATCACTCGCCGCACCACCTCTCCTCCCTCGCAGAACACGTTGCTGATGTCCTTGCAGCCTCCATGACCAACACCGGTGTACCTTGCATGCTCGTTGCTGCCAAATGCGATGTGAATGAAAAGGCTCGTCAAGTCAGTGCTCGATTTCATGAACAAGTCCGTCGCACGCTGGCCAAGGTTGCCATCGCCGAAGTCTCATCCAATTCGTCGGAGAACACCAAGCAGTGTTTTCTTGCCATGGTACACCGAGTCATTGCTTCTCCACGAGCGTCGATCCGAGCAAGCAAGTCTTCGTACAGCTCAATGGAATCGTCCAGCAGCCAGCGTGTCATTTCACGAGAACCATCACCGAGGGCAAGTCGAAGCCGGAGCCGGTCGAACCAACGCCTGCAAGTGTCCAAGTCAAAAGAGCTCTTACTGAATCTCTCCGTTCGCCAAACACTCGTCGAGTCTGAGAACGAAGAAAGCGGATCCTCAGCACCGGAGGATGAGGCTACTCCTCCGCCGAGAACGCCACTACGACTGGACACAGCTGCTGCCTCTCAACAACAACGTCGACATGGAGGGCCTCAGACACCTGTGTCCTCAGGTGACTATACCAACAAGCTAATATCACCAGAAACCACCATGACGGCGGTACCCGAAACGCCTGATTCCTACTATGTCAAGTCAATGCTTCGCCCTGATTCGACCTCCACCGTGGACAGCCGGGTGAATCAGACATTTCTTGACATGGATGACGATTCTCACAATCTGTCACCAAAAACAGAAATGGAGACACTGGGACCGCTGTTGAACGGTCTGAAGATGGGCCAAGACATGAAGTCGGAGCCCGGAGTGCCCTTCCAGGAGCTCGTTGACAAGCTGCTACTGCTGCCCGCAAGCAAGACCGATTCAAAGTTTGTTCCTTCTTTCTTATGCTTATACCGGTCTTTCGCCACCCCTCTGAGGCTTCTGACTGCAATCATCGATCAGTTCATGAAGGTCGAAAGCAGCAAGATGGTCCACTTCACAAAAGTGGCCGAGATGCTGCGCTATCTTCAAGTGCTGGCTCAATGGACCGCCACTTACCCCGGAGACTTTGCTCCTGGCCCTGCACGTGATTTTGCCATCCCATTTGTGCAAAGTATCGAGAAGAGCAAGGTGTTCGCACCCGCGGCGCGAGAGATCAGTAACAATCTGGACACCATCGTTCCAGACGAAGATTTGGATTGGGCATTTGACGATTCCCCATCTCCACTGAGCAAAAGGAGTGGTACCGGCAGTCATCCGAATACCTCATCGTCATCGTCGTCTTTGCCGCAACTAAGCACGGAGAAGGCCAGAGCATCAAATCACAAAGCACGACATGAAGCTGACGACAGCGACGATGAAGACAGTGCAAATTCATCCGGCCGTGGATCTAACACTCCTTCGATGTCGTCGAGCATGGTCAGGCCAAACAATACTTCCAGCCAGTCGTATGCAAATTACATGCAGTTGGAGAGTGCTAAAATGGAAGCTGAAAGATTCAAACCAATCCCTCGCATTCGTTTGAGCAAGCTCCAGTGGCATCAGTACATGGAGACACCCATTGATGAAATGGCAAGGGAAATTACCAGGATCGACTGGACCATGTACTCGGCAATACGGCCTCGAGATTTCGTTCGGCACGTCTCGCTGTCAACATCGCAGAGGCGACAGTCCCGTGCTGTTGACAACATCGGTGCTATGGTCAAGAACTTTAACCACCTTGCATTGTTCGTTTCTGGCATGATACTTTTCCGTGATAAGCCAAAGCATCGGGCGAGAGCCTTGGAGAAATTCATGGCGTTGGCCTGGAAAGTGCGACAACTGAACAATTACAACTCACTTGGGGCGATTGTGGCGGGAATCACTGGCCATGAGATCGCTCGTCTGACTGCCACTCGAGATCTCACACCGCCAGAGGTCCAGAAGCAATTTTTGCGGCTGACTATCTTGATGGGGATATCGAGGTCTCACGCCGCATACCGCATGGCCTGGGATAATTCTCCTGGAGAGCGAATCCCGTTTCTTCCGCTCGTGCGACAAGATCTCACAATGGCGGCTTCGGCAAACCAAACGTTCATTGGCACGAACATCAACTGGAAAAAGTTTGAGATCATGGGAGATGTCATTGTCGGCATTCAGCGGAGCCAGGAGAACCCTTATAATTTTCCGCCTCGGTCAGTCCGATCCGACGAAATCACCAAATTGATCTTGGAGACCAAAATCCTAGAGGAGTCGGAGGATTCTGCCGACCCACGAAGTGAATTATATGACCGGAGTGTGCAGATTGAACCGCAGCAGACTGGGGCTGATCCCAGGAAAAAGTTCGATTGGTTACGGCGTTAGTGACGTGAAAATTTACTGTCCGACAAAAGCGGGCAAAAGGGCGTGAAGATGCAGTCCACATGACAAACAGGGCGGCCTAAAGGATAGAAGGTCGTCCCGAGAGCCTGAAGAGCTCTGTGAAGCACGCATGGCGTGCTGGTGGCACTATGATCTTATGAGTTCATGACACTGAAGATTTTATGAATACAAAGGATGGATGGCGGAGTCTGGCTATGGCAGGGAGTAAAGGACTTGGGCTGAGCAAATCCGTGGCTTCATTTCAAAAGGAGTGTACAGACATCAGACATTTCGAGAGTCTTTGTCGAGCATCAGAGGGTGTGCTATGAGTCTACTTGTGTGGCGTGGGCGAGCCAAGCGAACGACCAAGCCAGTGGACGGAAAAGCACAAATACGTGGGCGCTGAACACAAGCTCTGATTATCGACACGACGGGACCGGCGGCAAAGTGATGTGGTGTGATGCGAACCTGCAAAATTGGGGGCTCAGGGCTTCGCCCCGGCATGCTTGTACAAAGGGCGGTTTTCTGCTTTGCCTCGACGAAGTACCCAGTATAGGACTGTATGTACGGAGTAATTCCAGTAGGTAGGTAGGTGCGAGAAAGATAAAAGTCGTGTATTGAAGCCCGTGATGATAAAGGGAGAGATAGGAGTACATTGGACGTGTCGGGCCAGATTGTATGGGTTCGTGAGTGCATCCATTCATTCGTGTCGGGCTCGGTGCTGCAAGTTCTTGCTGGTGCGAGGGTCGATAGGTACATTGGCCTCTTCTTCTCGAATACGCCGAATATCCCAGGCAGATGGCGAGCGCGCGGGTGGGCGGATGAGGGAGTGAGTGAGTGCAGCGTCCCACAAGTAACTAACTATACGAGTATACTCACCCTGTACTCCGTGCAAGTCACGAATGTACTTCGTATATACTGTGTACTATGTCCTGCGTACTGTATATAGTCGATTGCATCTCTACTCCGACATGGCTGTGCTGTACTCCGTATTACCAGAGCCGAAAGGGATCTTGTCTAACTAGAAAAGGAAGACAAAACGGAAATCAATGTCTCCGTCAGGTACCTAGGTAGGTACGCAGGTCGTGCTCGTTCGTCCCATCGTTGCTTTACTGATAGTTACTCGCTTGCTTGCTTGCTTGCTTGCTTAGGTGCGTACATGACAAAAACCCACGGAAAATCCAGCGCCAATTTCCATAGTCATGCGTGCCATGCTATTGCCCGTCTGACTTTTACCCGTCTGTGCCTGTTTTGCTTTTCACTTTTTGCCTTTCCGTCCTCGATGCGCACGTACATACATATATAACCTTCGATTCCTTTCCTTCCTCCCGTAGTATCCGACTCCATGGCCGTAGGTTATTCCGGAACCGGCTCCCCTTGTTGCATTGGAAGTGAGTAGACCCAGGGTTGTCCATGACTGGCTGATACAGTATGTGGCATTACTCCCTTTCTGGTGTCCCGCAGTGATATCGCGTACGTAATGTATTGTGTCCCGTGCCCTGTGTACTGTGCCCGTGCACTCTAGGTGTCCAGCATGGTTGAGTAGGAGAAACCCAAAAATCCGATAAGAGGATCCGTACGGAGCTAGGACGACAGGCAGGTAGGCAGCCTGACTACTGGTACCTATGGTCCGTCAACCCATCTCCTCATCGCGCGACTTCTCCCGCTGCATCTCCTCTGGCGACACGGCATCCTGGCCCGGATTGGCCTCCTCGTACTTGAAATACTTGACGAAGCGATAGTACCCACCCGCGAGCAAAGCTCCCATGATCGGCCCAACCCAGTAAATGTAATGATACCCCGGGAAGGAGGGGATCGCGACCGCGGGACCGAAACTGCGTGCCGGGTTCAGTGAGCTCCCGGTGAAGGGAAGCCCGGCCATCATGGCGACGAACAGTGCTAGACCGATCCCGACGGGCGCCATGAATGTGGCGTAGTGTTTTTCCGCCGCGAGCATCAGGATCGTGAACACAAGTAGCGACGTGAGGAACATTTCGATGAAGACTCCCTGTGCAGGGGTCGTGCCGTTGCCGAGGGTTGTGCTGACGATCAGCGGACCGGGGAACATGCATTTCACAAGGCCTGCCGCGGTCATGCCGCCCAGGAGCTGGGCCGGGAGGAGGAGCAGGCCTCTGAACCAGGGGAGGTTGTTTGTTATGACGAGGCCGAGCGTCACCTGCCGTGATGTCAGATGTTTTCTCAAATCGCGGGCATGTATTGTGTATATGCTACGTGCACCACATGCTACCCGTACAAATCTGGAAGTATTGTGCCGTCTGACTGCCAGTGGCAGTAGGTGTTCCGGCGCAGGAGCAAGGGGAACTTACCGCGGGATTAAACAGTCCGCCACTGATCCTGTAGAAAGCCCACACCGTGACGAGGAGCGAGAAGCCGAATGCCAAACTTGTCAGCACAATCTGGCTGGGATTGTTGCCGGCACCGCCGCCTGTGATGGCACAAGCCTGTGTGCCTGCAAACGCGAACCATAAGAACAAAGTGGTGCCAACGTATTCGCCAACCACAGCGATGAGATGGTTCTTCATGCGCTGGTGGCGGGAGAGCAGGTCGCGTTGGGGGTCATTATTTCGTGGGAGGTGGTGTCTGTGTGCAGCGTCGCCTGCTGGAGAGGCCGTGTTGGCACTGGTGGCGGCGGAAGACACCATGTTCTCTTGACGGAGGGACGTAGGCGGGAAGTGGCGCGGCATGGTGCGTCGATTTGCGGTTGAACGACTTGGATGCTGCCAGGCGGACGAGTGTTACTGTAGTTAGGGCATAAAATGTATGGGGTGGAATGTGGTGAGGGTGCGGTCAGTGCTTGCAGCAATATGAGGAGTAGAAGCGCGAACGCTGAGGCAGAGGATGACCAGAGGATGATGTCAACGGAGAGCTGGACCGGTGGACACGAACGGCGAGACTCTGGCTCTGGTGGCTTGACCGGGGGATTCGTGCAGCACTCCGTACCAGAGATGCTATGATAGCTCAGCCTGGCGATATGGTGGCGGAACCCTTACCTTTGTTTTACCTTTTGACTCCGCTCCAAGTTCTTGTCACGGTGCGGCAGCGGGACGTTTTGCCATGGCGGCGTGCCCGTGGGTGGCCGTTGGCCAACTTATTTCTGCGTTGTCCTGAAGGCAGAGGTTGGAAGACAATCGCAGGGCCCAAAGCCAATACTTGCGGGCCGCGCTCCTAAGCTGTGCCGTGGTGGAATGACGATCGGGCATGAATGAGGCCTTGGTGGATTATCGCCGATTGTCGAGCGTCGATCTCCCTTGCTTGATGTTGTCACAGACCCTGAGCTGCTGCTGGGTGTGACATCCGTCCCTTGGGGACCCTGGCAGGGGCCGTCGGGCGGGTACCAATGACATACGTGGCACGGCGGGTAAGCGAGGGCGAGCAATACCGGGTGGGTGAGATCAATATTTTGGCGAGCATCGTTGGCAAGTTACAAGTACGAATAAGAGAGTGTAGAGTGCGTAACTGATGTGCTTCTGAAGCTGAGAAGCGACGGTCGCAGCTTGTTTGCCGCGCCGTACTCGTCTGCGTATGCTGACTCAATGGCCCGCCGTTGCTTGCGCGGCTGTTTCCCACGTGCCCACCAATCGGTGAAGAGAGTAACCCGTTCTCGTTCGTGCATGTTTTGTTTATAGCGCAGGCTGAGGAGAACCAGATGTGCTGGCATCTGCCGAAAGCAATATCCGCTACTGATATCAATCATATCCTCCATGTAGGGCTTCTTGTGCACTCGGTGCTCTATGGTCTCTCTGGCAGACCGGGTTGAGGGACCTTCGCAAGTACAGGTACTGTACACTCATGCAAGGCAACCAAACTTGTCCTCATTCAGACGTGGCAGCCCAGCCTTATGAACAACATGAATTCAAGCGGAACAACTTCTGGACGCACTATCGTAGTTGCTTTCCAGCCTGCCAAGTGCTAATATTGAGAAGTATTCGTTGTGGTCATTCGGGATGGCTTCCATCACCACCACCATCACCACCACCACTCCTCCCACAGCGACAAATTCTCATGCTTTGTCTTCTAACCAACTAGTCACTCCTTCTTCATCAGCACTGCACCAGATTTCCATTCAAATGTCACCTGCGGCGGCGACAGGCACGAGCAGCCCTCCATCCCCAGCCAGCAATGGTCCGCCAGCCATGAATACGAGTCAGCGCCCAAGCACTCAACGACCACCAAATGCGCGGCAAGGCCTCTTTAGCAATGTCTTTCCCACCACCCTGCTTCCCAAGACGGTCAACTGGACTAAATGCATCTTCAACGGAGCAATGACCGTGTTATCCATCATGGGAGTCGTGTTTGCCGTATACCAGACGTTGATGTCGTCTTGGACTGCGCGGAAAGACTTTCGCGATGACTGCTTCAACCAGCTAGTGAGTGGTGAAAACCCTATATTCCCAGTAACCTTTTCGCCCAGCCCACAGATACGTAGCAATTTTTCGGCAATTGGAGTTCAACGGGCGATGAGGTGGTAGCGAACGGACTCGACTCCCCACCCCAGTTCCCTGGACTGCCTTTGACAAAGCGAGGGGCTTTGAAAGCTCATCAAGCCCTCCTAGCGATACCTCTGACTTCAGACGACGATGAAGTATGGCTCATAGTCCTCACCGCCTTGACAATGACCATGTACAGCCGCGCCTGCATAGGAATTATTTCTCAAATTCCCAGCCGATCGAAACGACCCCGGTATTCGACGTTCCATAGGCTCCTGGCCCATCTCGACGAGCTCCTGGCCCATCTCGACGAGCTCCTGGCCCATCTCGACGAGCTCCTGGCCCATCTCGACGAGCTCCTGGCCCATCTCGACCCAGTCAAGGGATTGCTTTGGATCATCGAGTCCGTGTTATTATTTGCCACAGTGCTGATTTTGGACGTCAGATCGCTATCCACCCAGACCTCGTTAATTCCACACGTCGCAATGACTTTGTTGTTTGCCGCGAGGCTGTGTGAGGACTGTCTCCTGCTTTACCTGGAATCGCGGTATCGGTCAGAAAAGGCAGGATGCAGAGCGGTCGTTGAAGACGAAATGAGCCTACGCACACATCACACCTTGTCGCGGCCTAGAACCTCCACAACCCTAATGGCTTGCACCCATGGCTCACTGCTGCATCTCGGCCCCTTCTACATTGTGGATTATTGTGATGAGCCAGGCGCAGCGGCCGTTCTGGTCATGACAGCGGCGACAGCCGTAGCCGTCTTGGGACGATCGGAAGGTCTTGGAAAGCGCAAATGGGAGTGGTCCGGTTTCTGTCCGATTGAGTGTCGAGTGTTAGTTCCTGTTGAAAAAAAACTATGTAAGAGCGGGAACATCTAGAGCAGCACAACACCCATTGACGGCAGGTTGCTCTCAACACTCTACAACCGAAGTTGAGGATTTGGTGTGCAATCACACAAATGGATGACTGGCCGGAGCCTGGCATGGCGTACAATACTTGGTTGACTTTCTTCATATATTCGGGGGGTATCTTAATATCCTCAACTTCGGTACGAGGACTTTTGTCCTCTATACCATAATCTATGATTAACGCTTAGGCTGACCCAACAACCATATAACCAAGCAGTGTCACAGCCTTCAAGCTACAGTATGCACATTTCACCTGCGTTATGTCTCCTGATCTGTGGCAGGGTATATTGCACCTCAAGCGCTCACACACACCAAGAAAAACCGGCCCGTCAGATATCAACGCGTTCTTCTTCGCCCTCTCCGTCCGCAGCAAAGTAGCTCTGATCAATCTTCAAGATCCACTCCACCTTCTGACTCTCACTTCTCGCGGCGAACAGAAACGTATTCTGCTCGCCGTAGACGGCGAAAACGTGCGCCAAGCCATGGATCTCACTCCCCGTCCGTCTGTGGCCTGGAGTCCGGAGCTCCGAGGATTCACCACTCGATATGCTCGACCCCCCACCGCCAAGAAGGCGCTTAAAGTCAGGATCATGATCGATCCTCGCGTGCGTGAGATTGATCGCGTTGATGCCCTCGCCATCGGGCACCGAGTGGATGTGCAGGTAGGGAGGACGGAGGTCGACGAACCGGCGCTTCCACTGCATAGTCGCCGCGTGCGAGGCCGAGGGGTCGTACGTTTCGGACGGCATGAGAAGATGGCCTGACTTGAGAGAGACGGGGTTCTTAGGCACGTAGCTGACGGTCGCTTGGTAGCGTGTCGAAGGTGGGTGGGAAGGGCTTGGTGCTGGCTGCGGAGGAGAAGGTTGAGTGTGACTGGCGTCGTTGTCGTCGAAGATGGGATTCTTCATCTCCGGACTTGGTTTCTGCCAGAGGGTGACAAATTTGCGGAGGAGCTCTTCTTCGTGCGGATCCATTGTGGAGGGTGACGCCGCGCGAGACCGTTGAGCCCTGCTGACGCTCAGCTTGCGCAGACCTAGCGTTGCTTTGGCGGACTCGATGTCCTGTAGTTGTCTCCTCTTCCGGCGTGCAATCAAGTAGTCCTTGACCAGGGAAATACCTCTGGGCTGCCAATTGCCGAGGTGTTCCTCGCCATTGATATAATTCTTCGATGTGTCAAGACGCCACAGATCAGCCGCCCGCTTGGCACTGACCGGTCGTACCACAATCGAGAACAGGCCGTCTGTGGAATGGGTAATCCGTGTTTGGCTCCAGAACGATTTGAACATCGACTGCGGACGGACATAAGAGCGAGGAAGGATCTGCAGTTGTTGGGCAATGACAAAAGTCATGGGATGGTCCTGGCCAAGGCGGTTCGAGATGATATCCCACCGCAGAGAAATTTGGACTCGGGAGTTTTCATGCGTAGCGCGGTCCAGAAGCAGGGATTTGTGCAGTGAGCTGTCCCACTGTCCCACGATGGTGATGTTTGAGGTGCCGTCGGCATTATCCTTGATCATCGGTTCTTGAATCTGTTTCAGAGGTATGTCTGGTGTGATGGAACCGATGTCGACAATGCGTCCAGACCCATCGATGAGGTGCACTTCCCCCACCCGTAGGTTCTTAAGATCATCCCACGGGAGGCCTTCGGTCAGTACGTGAGTGAGGTTGACCGAGATACGACGCTGCAGGCCCTGGTGTAGTTGGAATGCTCCAATATCATTGGCGTTATTCTGTATCAATTCCACTGGCATATATTGGCCGGTTTCCGCCAATTCAAGAAACTGGATCTTTGCAAAGACGTCGTGTCGTTCTTCAAGACTGTACTCGGCCTCGGATATCCGGGGAGCGGGCTGCTGATCACGTGGTTGCTCGTTCATTTCCCGGAGCTCGTCCCAGCTGATCAATTTGTCAAGATGAGTTGAGCTGACTTGAGCAAAGATCGAAATTTTCAATACAGCCGATTTCTCTCCGGATCGCTGGACGCTCAAGTTGTGTATGCTTTCGAACCTTACCGGTCCGTCACCGAAGCCGTGAATGGGCTGGGTTGTTGCCACACTCCCGTCTTCAGTCCCCAACACCGTCATCTGAGCATGTACTTGAGTACCTTCATGCTCTGCAAATCCCACAAGATCCCGCATGACAATGTTGAACTTGATAGTGGAAGGCGGAGATTCCGCTAAAGAGGGTTCCAGGGACATCCGAACCTTGCCGATGATCTGCCTCGTCGAGGGTGAGGATATCTCAACCACAAAATCTTGGACTCTTGTCTCAAAGACGGCGGTAAGGGGAATGCTGCCATCACCGATCAGCGAAAACAGTGGCTGATCAGAATCGCGAAATGGGTTGTCCATTCTGAAATGCTGCAAATATTCTGGCTGATCCTTGTACTGGTGCATTTGGCGCATTTTGGCCACCCGTTCTCTCAGCTTCCCCAAAGACCACAGATGAATGCAGCTGAGCTGATGATTGATGACTCGGACAGCCAGACACGGCTTTCGAGCACTGGCGAGAGCATCGTCATCGTCTCCAGAGATATCGTGGAGGATGAGATCGTACGAAGAGCCACGTTCCTCACCGGAGTCCAGAATCACAAATTGAAAATTGGCGTTTTGATCCAGCAGTTTGCTCATGACCTGAGCTTCCTTCAAAAGGCCGGCATTTTGCAGAACTGCCTCCGCTATCAGGATGTAGTTCCTCTGTTGCCATTTCTCGACAACGTTTCGGGCGATTGCTATCTCGGACGCTTCCAGGGGTAAGAATCCAGCAGGAGTCCTTGAAGCCTCTCGAATCCTAACGTCGTGGTCCATCTTCTTGATCTGCTCCTCGTATGCCTCTTTCTGTTTCCGAAGCTCTTCTTGGAACGCCACCTTTGCTCGCTCTAATTCTTGCTGCATCTGCGTAGCCTGGTCTACCTGCTCGGCTTCCTTAGCCGCCTCTTCGTCGGCATCTCTCCTTTCTTCTTCGGCCTTTTGTTGCTCCTGCTGCTGATTCTCAAACTCATTTGGTGTCATGGTCGGCTCACCATCTTCTTGAGACCCGCTGTGCGCAGAAGGAGTCCCGGGCAACGTCAGCGCGGTATCAAGCGAAAAGTTGTCCATAGTCCCATTTGACATGTACTTGTCTCTGACAAGGAAGGAGCTGAGATCGTCCGAGTCATCCTCTTGTTCCAGAAGCTTGTTGTCGGAGCGGCCACGTCGTTCTTCCCGTGCTCGTTGGATGTTCTCAAAGAGGCTGTCCAACTCCTCGTTTGAGAGTTGGGTGATTTTGGGGTCGGTACCAAGGAGCGCCCCGGCGGCTTCTCGTCGTGCAAAAAACCAATCAGATTCCCGGTTGCTACCTAATCCGGGTGACTGGGCGCGACTCGAGTCACCGTCCCATTCGGAACCCGCAGCACTCCAGCTCCGTTCGTGTCCGGGGCGGAACGGTGTTGGTGTCGGTGAACCAAGCTGGCTGGGGGTAATAGAATGGCGTAGCAGGCTTCTTTCGGCTCGTTCAGCTTTTGCCTCCAGGGGGTTGTTAAACCTGAATATGTGAAAATCTCCTAGGATGATTCGGTTACCGGTCCTGAGCCTTCGTGGTTTGTCGACGCGGACACCATTGACCATGACGGCGGCTCCCTCGACTGGGATAATCGTGACCACGTTGTCGACATTCTCTAGTTTGCAATGGTGCTCTAGAATTTTGGAGCCATTGAGCCTGATTTCGGAAGCTTCGGAGGAATCAACATTTCCCACCGTTGTGATACCGGGCTTCAGGTTATAGACCAGACACTCAGCCAGCAATGGGTCATCGCTAAGGTTGACCAAGTGAGGCATCTTCTTCGGGGTGCTCATACCCACATTGCCCTTTTCGATGCTAATGCCCAACTCTTCTAGAGCTGCTTCCCGCTCTTTGTGGATTTCTTCTGTCTTTGCCAGCTTTTCTTCCCAGGTCTGGTTGAGGTCGGTGTATAACTTCTCACTCTGGCTCAATTGGTCCATGATCTCTGCCTTGCTGACCCGTTTGACCGAGCCATCTGTGTGAACAATTGAAACCATTTGTTTCTCAAGTGGAGTACCTTCGGGATACACCTCCTCCGTCCCTCCTGCGGCGGCAGTCCCTCCAAGCTGGCTCCTGAGTTTGGCAAGCTCTTCTTTGAGTTCGCGGATCATGCGCGCGTTCGGATCCTCATTGATGACGGCATGATTCTTAATCCTCTTGGCCGAGTCAGCATATCGAAGCGTGCTTAGCGTTTCCTCGAAGTTGATATCTGCCGGAGAGATGGCAGCAATCATGGCTGTCATGCTATTGCCTCCAAGTGAATCCTTCAGGAGCCAGGTGAGAACCGAGTCTCGATACGGGACTTTTAAGCCTTTTTTGCCAGATGACAGGTCTGCTAGGGCTGCAATGACTCGACCAAGAGTCGACAGCGACCTGTTGATCTCTGCACCTTCCTTCAATCGCGCACCGGTCGCACCTGTTGAAGTCGCGCGCTCTGAACCGGCCAAATCGACCAAACTGATTTTTGCAACCTTTTCCGTGTCCATGTTCGTTTCGGCATCATGGCGTTTCTGTGTGAGAGTGAGGGTGAAGACGGCATGAGAGCGACTAGACGTTTCATTCATGTTCGTGGCTGCAACTGTCCTGGCCTTATTGCCCTCGTCCATGAGGTTTTCAATCTCACTGAACGAGCGCACAGCCAATTTCGCGAGGTCTTCGACGTAAGGACCAGTCGAGGGATGTTCTCTGACCCGAAGGTTGCCCTTGGTGCTCGGGTTGAGCAAGTCGCGGACCCGCTCATTATAGATCTCAAGGTACGAGACTTCGACAGTACAGGTGAGGTGGGGATCGGATTGCATCCCATTAATCCGTTCGAACATGTCCCGACAAATCCGTGGGATGACACCAGCCTCCTCACCATAGCCCATCATGCTGTAGGATTTTCCGGAGCCCGTCTGGCCATACGCGAAGATGCAGTTGTTGTAACCCTGAAAGGCGTTGTCGAGCAACGGGACTCCCAGGTCATTGAACACATTGTCTTGACCAGCATAGTTCGGGTCTGCCTTGTTAAACGACCAGTACGATTTGTCGAATTTGAAGGTCCGCTGAGCACTTGCACCGTCTTTTCCACCCTTCCGAAGCCGGTCTTCCGCGTCTGGTGGAGGTTGCAGAACGGTCTGTGCCTGCTGCATCTGGACGATACATTTTGCATTGCGCTCGATCTCGCGATTATTGAAGGGTCGCACTCGAACCACGACCTTGATGTTGCCGCCTCCCCCGCCTCCCCCTCCTCCACCGATACCGCCCGTTGGCGCCATGGTTGTACCAATGTTATAAGTGTGGTATTGCGTGTGTTTTCACCATCGTCTGTGTCGGCGGGGGAGGAAACAACTCGCTCGTCGGGTCGTTGTCGCCACGCGCGAGACGTGATTGAACTCGAGGACAGTGTACTCGGGCAACAAGTCTGGCTGGTGTATACGCATTGACGGGCGTTATGACTTCTGTCTGCCGGTGTTGAGGTTTGTTTGATTGAGGAGCGTGTCGCGTTGGGATCAGCGCAGGCGTGAAAGTGGATGCGTTTGATGGTTGAGGGATGCCTAGTTGGGAAGTCAAGCCGAGCAGGGGAGCCTTGAATATCATGGGGCTCAGGCACGCGCAGGGAGTCCAGGTGCCCCCAGGCTCTAAATTGGGGGCCGCTGCGCCCGAAATGCAGCCCTGGGGCTTCTTGACTAAGCTAGTAGGGCTCCGCCTGGAATCCACTTTGGCCATTCCAAGATTCGTTCCGCATGCGTGCGTCATTTGTATCAATAACTGATGAACCAGCAAAACAACGGGCAGCTTCGTCGTCTTTTGTTACTTCGTCCTCGTTATTACTCGCGACAACCTTCTATATACCGAACCAAGATACGAACACGGACCGCAATTGTATCATGACGTTGACAAGAACGGTCAGACGATATACCCGTGTGATTCTGTAGAACCAGCAGCCAACATGTTCCTGTGCCTGTGGCGCATGATCTAGACAAACATGGCCACCTCGTACACGACCAGGAATGGGCGAACTGCCAAGCGAGGGCTCTTTTCTGAAGGTGTCTGGCTCTGCGACTGCGAACCCCGGCTGCCTGCGGACAAGTTCCAGACCAAGCAAGGGACCAAGAATCATGGAAGGTGGTGTATGTGTCGAATCGAGGAATTCTAACCTCCTATTGACCAACCCACAGTCTATACCTGCCAGAAGCCTCAGAACAAGCGGTGCGGCTTCTTTCTGTGGACCGACGAAGCCAAGATCCGTGAAGAAGCCGCCGTGCTCAGCAACACACGCTCAGAGCCGAATGCTCCTGTCACACCTAAGACGCCGCAGAAACAGACCTCGATCGCCGAATTTCCTACGCCACAGACGAAGACCAACTATGCACAAACAAAACCTGCGGAAAGAGCTGACCAGATAGGGATATCTGGGCATTTCGAGCCCGAAGAGAGTTTTGAATGGTCTTCCAGCGATGACGAGGAATTGCTCAAAGCCGAACAAGAAGCTCTGCAAATTACACCGTTCGATAAACCCCGGAAGACCCCTCGAACAGATGGTCTCACATCTCCCGGGAAGAGGACCTTGTCTGGGTCGCCGGCTCGGGCTGTTAGGAGTGATGAAATATGGCCTCTGAGCGATGATGTTTTCACCACTCCGAGCACGTCCCAAAAGTCATATGGCCCCGGACTGCTCTCGCCTTCAAATACTCCAGCTTCCAGACTGATCCAGAGCGGAACTGGGCCATCCGAAGCCGAGCCTTCTTCGCTTGCCGCCGAAGCGCTCAGCATACTGAGAAGCTCAGACGCGCAAATCAGCTCGTGGGTCGAAGCTCAACTCGTGGACCTTCTCAACAAGTACGACCTCCGGACGCAAGGAATCATCAAGGGCAGGGACATCACCCGGTTAGCTGTCCAGACTAAGGACAGGAAGATTGCAGAAATGCAAGCCCGCATTTCTGCACTAGAGGCAGAAAAGGAAACAAACAGAAGAGTCATATCTCACTTGAAAATGGACATCGCTACTTCGCCGAAGAGAGGTAAAGGCAGGGGTATGCTCCCTGCACGTCGATCAGAGGTCTGACCTGTCCAAAGCGCAAGAAGTGCATCGGGACAGGAAGCTCCAAAGTTCTTCTGCCGACCCGAAAGCCTTCCGAGTGCCACACCCTCCCTTATGCGTGGCAGGCTCTATCCCGTTCAACCGCTAGCGGCTCTCATAACAAGAGCATAGGACTGACTGGAGACCCGCAGCGAACAATCCTACTTATGTGTACCTGCAGGCGTTGGTTGTTGAACTGACTACTGCGAGTTGCTCGTGGACGACATGCTAAATAAGTCGACAGTCTTTTCGCTGCCAGGAGCTGCCAGACCAACAAAACTCACTGGCAGACAAGGTTGTTTGTCTGGCTGCATCAATCACACTTGAATACACAGCCCTGACAAGGGTAACAAGTTGGAATTGTTCGACCCTCAGGTGTTGATACGACCTAGGAACCAGCTCAAATATGTTGGGCTTGTTCCCCATGGACTCGAGAATGGGAAGCCGACATCGACCAAGCATATCGATCGGTGGTTGAGGATTGATATCACAGCTTTATGCTTGATCATGTGGCGCCCGACAGCGTACACGCGCGACGTTGCCAACGCACAGTACTCCGTACGTGGACGGATATCTTTGCAGGTTAAACGAGGGCTCGGCCAAAATCGTCCTGGTCTGTCACGTATGCCGCTGCGAAGAGTCCACCACAACAGCGGCCCTTTGGGATCACAGCAAGCGGCCAGTCGCTATTGCGCTGTGCCGCACTGATCTCCCCGTCGAACAGTCTCTTAATGACTGGACATGGCTCTGGACGTCCGTCTTAGTGATAGGCGGTCTCCTGGAAATTTCTGCTTCATCGTCACCATACTTCTACCCAGTAATTATCTGGGAACTATGTATGCTTGGATGATGAGGACATTCGAGTTGCAGTCGGTAGCTATCGGTGTGCCTCCATCTGCACCCGGTACGATAGTTCACTCTGTGGTGTGCCTGACTTCGCTTATGCTGAACATGCATCGAAGCGACCTTAACAAGTTCAAATTTGTGGCTCGGCGAAGACTTCGTCCGTCGTGACTTGCCCTGCATTTCCTCCACTGCCGCGCAATCCCAAACAGGATGCTCTGCAACTTCTGGATTTCGCCAGTGGATGGATCAAGGTGTTCTTCCTTTCACTGCCCTGTAAAACATGATGTCTGACCTACTCCCCTTCCTCTTTGGGAGTTTGAGCTCCAGAAAATCGAACCCTCTAGCCCTCCATCGACTTGCATGTTCCACACTGGTGACGTCCTCACACGAGCATGGCAACTTGCCCCGATCACATACCGATATACCTGTGTGGGATGCTTTCGACAGCTGTGTAATTACCCAGACATTGAAGTGCTAACAAGTGGACACACGGCTGGGCAACCATCGAGGTAAGTCTCCGGCCAACAAGGCTTGTGGATTGCTCCCAGGCACTTCTGCCACCGTCAAGCTGCACTACAGTAGGCAATGTGGCCTTGGAGCCGGCGACCGCAACAAGAACGGTGAGACCTTTGTCGCTGCCGATGCATCCCCGACTCTCGTCTAGGCATTAATTGGGGCAGGACCACAACACCACCAGCACCGTGCAGGCCAGATTGAGAGCTACTGTATCAAGGCACGCGACACAACAATCCGGAAGTCGCCCGGTCAAAAGAACACGTACCAGTAACGCACATTGTCCGGAAAATCCCAACGAGGCAGGGCACTGAATATTGGTCCCTCCATACGAGTTACGAGTTACACGGTACACCTCCGACGCTCCTCACAAATGCCGACCCACTATCCCGATCAAGTCCGTATGCAGGTCCCCCCACCCTCTTTTCCATCAAGGGATCACGGATCGGCAGAGACGATAGCCACATGGCTCACACACCATCACAGACGCAGACCCTGTTTCCGCGTGTCTCATACGAACTACTGGGTACTTAGCCAACAGAGCGACAAGGGCCCTGAACAGGAGTCGCACAACACGCGCAACTCCTCAGCAAAGCAAGCGCAATCAGTTTTGCGTGCGAACTTGAACAAACACCAGGTTGGTCACGCAACGGGTGAGTACTGTACTGCAGAGGAATATGGGGCCGCGTGGGAGAAACATGGCGCGGATAAATTTTCCGCGCCATCAATCACCTCCCAGTTGTATGTGGGCATGTCTCGAACTCGGTGGACGGACGCACATGCAAATACGAAGTACTGCAATGCGACTTGTGATGTTCAACAAAGACATTCGGTAAATTCTATCTGTTCGGCCTGCATAATGGGCCGTGATTCGAGAAATTCAAAAGGTCTCATTGAAAGCTCAGGTCACCAATTTAGTTCCTTTCGTTTAGTGTCTCTGTCCCCGTCCCCGTCCCCGTCCCCGTCGCCCAGACGCATGTGGTCTCTCAGAGCTCGCGCAGGACATGATTCGAAGCCTATCCTCGAAACTTCCCGGGAGGTCACACTACTGGGACCTCAACCAGAGAGAAGGGAAGGGCCGGGACTCACTCCACACTTCCTACTGTAGGCATTCGCAACGGCCCAACCAAGTAGGTGGGGACACCAGCCTTGGCACCACCGCCGAGAGCGCTGCCAGTGCAAGTGCAAGTGCAAATGCGAATTCGTTACGGAGTACTGTAGAGGCATACACGAAACACAAGGCTGCATAATGACGGGCTGCATGTCCTCTTTGTGACTGAACAAGTGAGACGTAGGTCTGGCGTCACTTTGTGTAGATGTCGGAATTTCAACGAAGTGAATCGGGTACCTAGGTACGGAGTGCGTTGTCCTCGGTCCTTCGTGTTCAAGCTACACAGGACGGAATACCGAGTGCATGTGGCGCTGGCCCAACGAGTCATGTCCTAATGAATGCTGGCGACCTGACTCGTCGTTGATCGACTGTGACTGTACCCGTACCCGAGGTACGGAGTACAGGACTCCGAAATACTTCGTACTCGTAGAGAGGAATGCGAAAGGCTAGGTACCTGACCTACTCAGTAGCCACATGAGCCGTGCAATTCATCGAGTTCTCATGCCTGATATGTACATACCTGGTTCCTGGATCCTTGACCTTAAAACACATCTGCACATACTCCGTACTATTACATCACATCATCTCATTTGACTCTCACCTGAAACTAGGTAGACCGTCCAGTGCGTGCATTGTTGAGACCATACCTACATTAGTATCCAGTACATGTGTTGCATGCTTTCATACCTGATGTTCGCGTGGAAGAGAAGGTGAAAGTTGATTGAAAGTCAAAGTCAAAGGGGAAGGGCAATGATGGGAGCATGGGACACCCAAGTCCTGAAGTTTCACGTCTCGAGCTCAACGACTAGCTGGGATTCATCGATACTCTTTCTTGCTAATTGCTCGATTTCTCCTCATCTTCTTTACTTCCTTGCGCTCCCCTGCCACTCTGACGCGGGTGCTGACAAGAAACTCCGGGAAATACGAGGTGGAGCAGGGTTTTGAGTAAAGAACCGGGCAATCCAAGTCGCTTGATAGCATTGAGTTAATGTTGGCTTGCGCGACCTTCGACTTGAGACACGCATGGCCTCTCCTTATTTTCGGATCTCTAGTTTATGTTAGGTCTTTTATCTAGCTCTGTCTGGGGCACCCCGGACGCGGGTTCGCATTGTTGCCTGGCTCAAGCCTGGCCTCCAGCCGCTGACACCGGCACAAATTCCTGTTCCCTGATACTCCGACTAGTCCATACCCCCGTCCTGAATAGTCCCGTGCGGAATTTCCGAGGTCTGAATGCTACCGACAGGAATCAACGCTCTGCTGCACGCATGCCGACTTTGGCGCAGTTCCGGTGGTCTCAACGGCAGTGGATTGCTTTAGTGTTTCAACAAGCAAGCCGCACCGCATCTGTCGTAGTTCCTCCCAGCCAGGTCGCGGACTGAGTCCAAATGTCATGCCGTCCTTGTGCCGCCGCACAACCACACATCGACCCAAAAGGCAGTCACCGTCATAGTGGGCCGCTGCAATCTGCGGACCCTCTACCCCAGAAAGCTGCGGGCCGCCGTTCCCGAGGGATGCAGGTCGCTTCAGGCTGGGCAGCAAAGAGAAAATTTCTTCACACCACTTCTAGGCTCCCGAAGTACCAACTGTGACATATCATACATTTTGGATGTCGTGTTGTAGACTCTCAGAGCTCACTGCTTTCTGTAATGAAAACGTATTCTGTCCGAGAACAAAACAGCTCCTGGGAAGAAGAACAGTCCCAGGCCAAGATGAGCGGTGAAAGTCGCCACTTTGTCCAAGGTAGATTGCTCAAGGGTCTGGGAAATATCGTGCCAGTTCGACATGCGGAGGATAGTTCAAGGGATGGGACTTGCATGGTGATGGTTCTGTCCACGTGCATAATGGAGTAACATCGAGCGGTCGGAGCATATCAAGCTCGGTGACAACCGAAGTTTAGAGCCACAGAAGTGTCGCTAGCGCCTGGAAACACCTCTCGATCATCAATTCATGTGCAGCAGCGACCCCGGACATTGCTGAATGCTTGGCAAGTTCATAAAATCACACATTTGCTGCTACGCTTTTTGGTGTGTTCGCGGTAAATGCGTTGGTGGTCCGAGTCGTAATTGTTTCGCGGACCCGGCTGTGGGCCGTAGTTTGTGCCCTTCCGGTCGACGGGCTTCATAGGTGACTGCCGTTGCCTTCTCAGCTGCCGTACAACGTCATAAAAGGCCTTTTCGACGTTGATGCAGTTTTTGGCAGAAGCCTCGACAAATTCGCAACCAAGGTCTTTCGCTAGAGCTAGGCCCTCTTGCGCTGAGACCTCGCGTTCGTGATGCTGGTCGCTCTTGTTGCCAACCAGCATAATAGGAACCGGACCGGTATATATGGGCTGGCCAGTCATTTGTGCAGGCAAGTAGCTTGCGCCAGTAGGCGAATTTGGGTGTCCCGACTCCTTGACCCGCTGTACCTGGGAATAGAATTTCTGGATTCTTGTAAAAGAGTTTCTGGAGGTGATACTGTAGACAAGGATAAACCCTTCGCCGTCTCGGATCCACTGGTCGCGAAGCGCAGTATA